TTTTGCCAATGCTTGCTGTATCTATGATGTATTTTGCCAATGCTTGCTGTATCTATGGTGTATTTTGTCAATGCTTGCTGTATCTGTGGTATATTTTGCCAATGCTTGCTGTATCTATGGTATATTTTGCCAATGCTTGCTGTATCTATGGTATATTTTGCCAATGCTTGCTGTATCTATGGTATATTTTGCAAATGCTTGTTGTATCTATGGTATAATTTATCTAAGCTTGCTTTATCTTTGGCATATATTGTCTAAGCTTGCTGTATCTATGGTGTATTTTGTCAATGCTTGCTGTATCTATGGTATATTTTGCCAATGCTTGCTGTATCTATGGTATATTTTGCCAATGCTTGCTGTATCTGTGGTATATTTTGTCAATGCTTGCTGTATCTATGGTATCTTTGTTAATTAACTTTGCACTTCATTTCTTTCTTTTATTCCTTTATATTTATTATTTTTCTTTCACTCTTCCCCATTGTACGTGACATGTATTTATTTGTTTATAACCCGACCCATCTATTATTTTGCATGAAGGACTTAGGGTATCAGAACTGTTGTTATGGAGACACAAACCCGGGTGTTATTTCAGCAAAATGGAACTTTCCGGTAATGTTCAATAATGTTAGTTTTTTAGAAACTATTTCAGTTTCAATTATTTTGCGTGGCTCGATACTATTTTCACACTTAAGAAAGATACTTATATTAATTTCGCTGTTATTTATTATTTATGAAACCGCAGACAGCATTTAAATTATGGGATATGGTTCGTAAAGTTGTGTACTGCAATTACTGCCCATTTAAAACATCGAGGAAACGCTCGTTATACTATTTTTGATGTATCCATGTAATTTCATGTTGAGTTTTTTCTTTGTTTGCTTATATCGAATGTATCCGTTTAATGTATTTGGTGTTAAAACATAACATAATTCTTAGAAACGCAATCCGCAGACACATTCATAATTTATAATGTAGACAGTTTTTTTAATTTCGATATATTTCCAACATATTTGTAGCCCGGAAATATTTATTATCGTATCAGTTTTATAGCTGACACGTTCTACCTTTGTCATTTCACGTTTGGTAATTAGTCCGACCTTCCCAGGCGTCCTGACATTCTCTATTATAGCTAATTATCAGTTCCGGGATGTCCCAGGTGACAATACAGTTAATTGAATACAAAAATGATCAGTAAATGTAGGTGTTTTATGAGGTATTATGAATATGTGATATGTTAACTAGTGCCATATGCCTATAATTAAGTTACATGATATATTCGTTTTTTGCACTTGGATGGATATCGAAGATTGATAAGTGGTTCTGAGTTTCAGTTAAGCAATAGATGTTAACGTGTTCTGATGGGTGGCTTGTTAGGTGACACTAATAATAGATGTCTGTTTATGTGACCTGTCTGCCGGAGATGGTTTGATGTCGTTAATTGTTTACATACAGTGTATCATGAACACCCATTGGCGTCCTTTCGATATGGCTTAGAGTTCTTGTTATTTCCTCTGTTTGTTGAAGCGTTGGTTCATAAACAGAAGTCTACTGTCTTCCATTCTGATTGAGTATTTAGATCTTCTTTTCCCGTTAAAGTTTACTTTGTAAAAAACATGTTAGGGATCTATTTTCTTTGAAAAAAACAATTTACAGAAAAATGGTATACTTGATGAACGTGCAGAATTATTATTTTTGTTTATTGATATTTCTTTTATCTCAAACATCATATTTCTTAAATCATTAATGCTGGCTTCCCTAGCGTCCTGAAATACTTTATCTACTGGAATACTAACGATCACTTACAGTATGTACTTAATAGGAAAATAGCTGATTGGATTTAGAAATGTTAAGTTACTGTTTGTGTTTTGGAGAGTATAATGGATATTTTGTATATTTGTCACCAGTTCCGTCGTACACATTTTCAGTGACGGAGAGGGATTTGTGGTATATTAAATGCGTGTTTCAGCATCACCTGTGTCTATACTATAGATCTAGATCTTCTGAAGCACTGGGTATAGTATTGAAAGCTCAATAACTTGATGACAAAAATACATACACAGTTGTATGTTCATTTAAAATGTGGGCTAGGAGTGATAGGATGTTTTAAATTATACATTAACAGATGTTTGACCATGTAATCTATGCTTTTGGCTGAGAGTGATTGGATGTTACCAATAATACAATAACAGATGTTTGACCACGTAATCTATGTTTTATGCTGAGAGTGATTGGATGTTATAAATTAAACATTAACAGACGTTTGACCACGTAATCTATGCATCGGGCTGGGAGTAATTGGATGTTATAAATTATACATTAACAGATGTTTGACCAGGTAATCTATGATTCGGGCTGAGAGTGATTGGATGTTTTAAATTAAACACTAACAGATGTTTGACCACGAAATACTTATATGCTTTGGGCTGAGAGTGATGGGATGTTATCAATTATACATTAACAGATGTTGACCACGTAGTCTATGCTTTGGGCTGAGAGTGATTGGATGTTATAAATTATACATTAACAGATGCATGACCTCGTAATTTATGCTTTGGACTGGGAGTGATTGGATGTTTCAAATAATACATTAACAGATATTTGACCCCGTTGTCTATGCTTTTGGCTGAGAGCGATTGGATGTTATAAATTATACATTAACAGATGGTTGACCTCGTTATCAATACTTTGGACTGGGAGTGATTGGATGTTACAAATAATACATTAACAGATGTTTGGTTTGAGTTGGTATAATATCTGGATCCTTTAACCGTTACATAGAGGCACTGCATAATTACAGTTCTATTTACTAAAGCAAGTAAAGCGAAAAACAAAACAAAAAGCAATGAACCTATTTATCGATATGATTGGAATATTCCTCCGTTTATCGCTAATACTAAACAATTATAATTTTGAATGTCAAACTATGATTGTGAAATACTTACCTCGTACGTGGTATCTAAATATAACATTCCTTTTTACCAGAACCACTGAAACAATTTCTCAAACAAATTTCTCATCAAATATTGTAATGGGATGTCCTTTGATCATCATCGTTAATGACTTTGAAATGTTGATGCTAGATCGAGAAGATATCTCTTAGATATAGTCCAAATACAGTCTTACCATCAATGTCCATCACTAGATCGACAAGACACCTCTTAGATATAGTCCAAATACGGTCTTATCATCAATGTCCATCACTAGATCGACAAGATACCTCTTAGATATAGTCCAAATACGGTCTTACCATCAATGTCCATCAGTAGATCGACAAGACACCTCTTAGATATAGTCCAGATACAGTCTTACCATCAATGTCCATCACTAGATCGACAAGACACCTCTTAGATATAGTCAAAATACAGTCTTACCATCAGTGTCCATCACTAGATCGACAAGATACCTCTTAGATATAGTCAAAATACAGTCTTACCATCACTGTCCATCACTAGATCGACAAGATACCTCTTAGATATAGTCCAAATACGGTCTTACCATCAATGTCCATCAGTAGATCGACAAGATACCTCTTAGATATAGTCCAGATACAGTCTTACCATCAATGTCCATCACTAGATCGACAAGACACCTCTTAGATATAGTCAAAATACAGTCTTACCATCACTGTCCATCACTAGATCGACAAGATACCTCTTAGATATAGTCCAAATACGGTCTTACCATCAATGTCCATCAGTAGATCGACAAGATACCTCTTAGATATAGTCCAGATACAGTCTTACCATCAATGTCCATCACTAGATCGACAAGACACCTCTTAGATATAGTCAAAATACAGTCTTACCATCACTGTCCATCACTAGATCGACAAGATACCTCTTAGATATAGTCCAAATACGGTCTTACCATCAATGTCCATCAGTAGATCGACAAGATACCTCTTAGATATAGTCCAGATACAGTCTTACCATCAATGTCCATCACTAGATCGACAAGACACCTCTTAGATATAGTCAAAATACAGTCTTACCATCACTGTCCATCACTAGATCGACAAGATACCTCTTAGATATAGTCCAAATACGGTCTTACCATCAATGTCCATCAGTAGATCGACAAGATACCTCTTAGATATAGTCCAAATACAGTCTTACCATCCATGTCCATCAGTAGATCGACAAGATACCTCTTTGGTATAGTCCAAATACAGTCTTACCATCAATGTCCATCAGTAGATCGACCAGATACCTCTTTGATATAGTCCAAATACAGTCTTACCATCAATGTCCATCAGTAGATCGACACGATACCTCTTTGGTATAGTCCAAATACAGTCTTACCATCAATGTCCATTAGTAGATCGACCAGATACCTCTTAGATATAGTCCAAATATAGTCTTACCATCAATGTCCATTAGTAGATCGATAAGACACCTCTTAGATATAGTCAAATACAGTCTTACCATCAATATCCATCACTAGATCGACCAGATACCTCTTTGGTATAGTCCAAATACAGTCTTACCATCAATGTCCATCACTAGATCGACAAGATACCTCTTAGATATAGTCCAAATACAGTCCTATCATCAATGTTCATCACTAGATCGACAAGATACCTCTTAGATATAGTCCAAATACAGTCTTGCCATCAATGTCCATCAGTAGATAGACAAGATGCCTCTTAGAAATTGTCCAAATACTGTCTTACCATCAATGTCCATTACTAAACTGATATCCAGTTTTATGAGATAATAACTAAATTATACGTTATGCCTTATGACGTTCCTGTATACGAGATTTATAGTGTTTCAGTTTCTGGAGTATTAGGTGTTGATTTGATAACTCAGACCAATGACCGAGCCAGACTTAAAACGGCAGATCAAGATTTCTCAGAAGATTTAAGGTTTGTGTATATACATTCATGACGTACCTAGTACCTGAACTCTACCTCACCAGATACTATACCAACGTGTTGCTGAAAAGTAAAGTGCCGGTTATCACATAACTAAGTTTCAAAAATAAAAACAACACAAGTGTAATACTTTGACAATCTTTGTTCTAAATCAAAATGAGCAAGTTAAAATGTAAAGACATAGAAAGTCACAGATAATTTCGTTTTTGAAGGAAGGCTAGCTATTTGTATGTATCTATTCACAGAGTTGAATAGACACTTTCTAGAGGAAGCTTAGCTATCCACCGAGTTGAAAAGTTATATGCTTGGAGGAAGATTACTAATTCAAGTCTGTGACTAGTTACTTTTTTTAGGAAGGTAAGCTATTCACAGACTTGAATAGTTACCCACATATCATTTGTATGCTCATTATTCTCTTTACAGTATTTCACATGCGATACAAAACACATACTATGACAATTTACATGTATTTCTACAAAAAAATGATATCGACATTTTTTCTTATAGCATAATAGACTTTTAATAATAACACTGAGTAATTATGAAACATTGCACTATGGAAAGACAAGTTATACGTACATGGATAATCAGCGTAAAATGAAAACAATTGCTTTCATCATTCGATAATAACATTTCTAAACAGTGAAAATAGTAAAAACTAGTTTTCCCTGAAGCAGAGCCGTTAGAGCCACTTGGTGACCCTATGTTGAGCTACCATGCTACCTGCTGTCAAGCCATGAGTTCACCTTTTACTGTGTGTAGTACAGAGAACTTGGTGTGTTTTTAATCAAATTTAACGTAGCAAACAGTAGAGTTAGACACACGGTGTCCGTCGAAATTATAAGTTTATCTGTCACTTCCCATATAAGGAATAACGATGATATTTTCTACATTTCTAGTTCTATCTATTTGTAGAAAGAAAGAAAGAAAACTATACTTTTGTATTAGGGATATTACCTCGTTTTAATTCTTTTTTGGTAAAATTCCACAGGGAGAAATACTTATTTGTCTGTTTTGTAAAGATATTTGTCTAGACATCATTAACGTTGTACTCGTGTGCAAAGAAAATATAACAGAACATATTCCGAGTCACTAGAACAATTGTTCCTCTCCAAACAATTACATTTACCTCAGTGAGAACCAAACCATAATAATGCAGGCAATTAATGGCCACACCATATTGTTTGTATTATTGTAACAAGTGCAACATGTCACGATGCTTTTCATACCTTCTAGATATAAATAACCTGACCTCTTAATTTCAAATTCCAACTAAAATGGTAGAGTATTGATCAACCATGCTTTGAATGACATATTTGATTATGATTCAAGCGTTTGTTTATCTGGCATTGATCAATAAATGTGTACAAATGTGCTTTGGCAGTAAGCGCGTCCTATAGGATAAAGGACGTATCTCAACAGTATGACGAAGTACATTGTAGCAACAAGGCTCAAATAACATCACTAAAACATTACAAAGCTATTTTTCATGTTCACCTATTGTATTTTATATAAAATCATATCTAATTCTCTTTAATAACAGAACGTTACATTGGCTGACGTAATGCACAATATAATTTCCTTTATTTAACTTGTGAAGCGTCACGAGACTTTGTCTCATGGCAATCTGCACAAACCTACTAGCTAGATTTAACGTGCGTAGTGGTCACACAATATTGGTCGACGGCAACCCAACATTACAACACAGTTTTAACTGTTGTAGCGGTACACACATTAAACTGAACTTATATCAGTGTTTTGGCTTAAACTTTGCAAACACTCACCTTAAACAGTAATAACAATGGACCCTTATTAAGGGCATGGCCTATTTCACAAACGTATGTATGAGAATATCACTAGGTAACGAGAATGATAGATAATAGCGATGCTACCGAGATGATAACGTAATGAATTTGCAGTATTATTCTATGATGAGTGTTTTCATTATGCTGCACTATCTTTCTGAGACAGGTCGGGATCGGACTTTGGTGTGGAAAATTCAGCAAAGTGAAGAGGATTTGAGAAACCTGCAGCACCATCAGTTGTTTCCTGAAATATATTGCACACCACTCTTAAATATCTCTCCGTTTGTTTGTCTGTTACCTAACATCAATCTACATATTAAAGAAAGAAAGTAAGACATTTTAAGTAAACTGTAGTTTGAATTAGATGCAAGCAAAATGTTTTATTAATTGTTTCTTCAGCAAAACTAGCATACCTAATGAACAACGACATAAGTTTCACAAAAACAGCGTACATGTATATGCACCACCAGATACCCGGGCTATGTGAAGGTGTTAGCGCCAACTGTGAGAACATTTCTGTACATAAAGTATACAGTGAGAGAAATATCAACAAAAAACACTGTTTAACTTTGTGGTGAAAACAATTGTGAAAAAAAAATAAAAAAAAAATAAAATATCTTGTTATTTTCCCCCTAAACGGCAAGTTTTGTTTAATTTTATGTTGGCTCACCGCGCGATGTTGATTAATTCATTGTATTACATAAGCAAAACCTCACCAAAATATACGTATGTCTATATGGAAAACATAATATACTTACATCTTTGACCTCTGGGGAAAAGCCAGTTTGTGCAACACCGCCCGGTCCTTTAATAAACTGGCCAGTATATTTTTTGCGCATCAGAAGAAAAACTGCTGTCACAGCAATTAGGGCCATGATGATAAGACCCAGGACAAGACCAGCCATTGATCCCTTACTCAGGTATACGCCCCCAGAATCTGAAAAATACATGTAATTAAGCATATAAACAATCTGCGAAGGAACTGTTAATTTACTAGTAGTTAAACATAGAAATACATGACATTCAGTTACGATATAACTCGGATTGATCTAGATTAACACGACATGTGTCCTTGATGAAGCAAATAATGCTGCTCACCCGGAACACCCTTTTTTCTTTTATTAATAATAATAATAATTCGAGGTTCTTACATACCGCTTTATCACAACCTAGTTCGTAGGTCGTCTTAAAGCCGTTCACAAATTATTATCGTGGTTATAGGGCCTTTGCAACCAGTCAATATTTTTCTCAACTCCCTGGAGAGCATACAGCCGGAGCTGCCATTTCACCGCTAACAGCTATCATTCAACAATTCTAGCACTGGCCAACCACGTACTCATTTACAGCGAAGTAGACTAGAACACGCGGAGTAAAATATCTTGCTCAAAGATACAACCCTTCGGTCACGAGCCCGGCATCCGACCACTAAACTACCGTGTTTCCATTCTTCTGTTATAATTCATTATTTACTATATTTTATTTATTTGTTGATTTCGAGTTCGAATTACGGTAAAAACCATTTAAGATACAAACAAAGTGTTGCTCACATGTAAATACACTTTCGATATTACTAATAGGGTTTTTCTCCAATCCCCTTCATCTTCGCAAAAATATTAAAATGTACGAGTTGGCAATATCAAATGGCCGTCACATCGGCTACACTGTCCGCCTATCTATCCTTTTACATGTAGACTGGATAGTGTGTCACACATCACACTGGACAGTGTTGTTATGCAGTAAAAAACGTTTCTAATAGAAAAGCATTTCAAATTATTTGACTTTTGAACCATCTTTTTGTCGATTTGATAGACTTTTCGTTCAGGTATTACAACGGTGTACCTAAGCTAATAGCGTTACAAAACTGACGGCGATAGTATAGTATATATATTCGATTTTAGTTGGAGCTGTTGTTGCTTACAGAAATCCTCCTAAAGTATGGGCCCTCCATACGTCAACAAAGTCAACAAGTTGCATTGACATACCGAGTTTTGGCTACAGTATGCATTACCAATTAGTGATTGTTTGAAAAATAGTAATGAGAATAGTGAGCATTGAGACAGAATGCTGTATTATTGTGAATTACTTGATGATCGGATCGCCGTGTGGGCGGACACAGAGCCAGACCATTGGGGTTTTGTCGTCTGGGAACAGTCACTGCCATAAAAACCAGGAACACACGAGCACAAGCCCTGCAGTAAAAGAAACACATTTGAATAAGCTTACGATTTTTATTTTACACAAAATGCCTATATATCCTAGAACTATATCACACAAAGTTTATCGGTGTTGTTATGCAGTAAAAACGTTTCTTATAGAAAAGCATTTCAAATTATTTGACTTTCGAAACATCTTTGGTTTAAGTCTTTAATGCACTGTCCAGTGTTTCACATAATTGTTATGTCATTATGGAGTGATGATTTTATGAAAATCTAAGCATTCCGATAAACTGGGGATTTTTTGGTAAGAAATACCGAAAAATTTAATTTTTGTCAAATTTATCATTTTCACATTTTTTGAGTGCGTGTCATTGTTCAAAACTATAACATAAATAAAATGATAAAAAGGAGCATTGCTAATCAACCCTACAAATATTTTGCTTATCATAAAACATCTACTATATGTTAAAAAAGTTATTTTTATTGAAATTGTATGGATAAAAGTTATTATATACAAGCTGAAAGCAAACAGGACACATATTTTCATACAAAAAGAGTGAAAAATTGAACCAAATACACCCAAAGTTATTTATTTTACATTTTACAATAGTTTTGATCCCGATGAGATTTGTCTACCTTGAAAAAAACGGAACTTTTTGCAGAGGGATAGAATTCATACAATGACAATTATTGTCTTTACTGTACCAAAAACGACGGAAATATATTAAATTACAATATTAAATCGTCAATTTACTGTTCGTTTATGGAACAAAATTACTCTCAATTATGTACACTTTGGACATCATTTAATAGCCGCTTACGCATAGTATATTTACATGTCAGGTACATATGTAACCATAGGCTATTGCATGGTATGCCGTTATTACGAGCACGCACATGTACTTGCATTTTAAAGGGATCTTGATATTTTACAAACCACTATTTTCACCGAGGTAGTGTAATTGCATTTGTTAAATGATTTATCTAACAAAAGTCGTAGTGACCCCGAGCTCGTGAGCTACTGTTAGCACTTGATATGTACAGGTGAGGTCGGTAAACAAAACACATCAGTCTGCATTCCATGCCCCTCATATAAGACCCTCTTGAAGTCTTCTGATCTTATGGCAGTGTCCTACCGTGTGTTAATTAATGTCTTTGTATCATAAGCTTTATTTCTGAAGTACGTGGTGTGTTACATTTCCAAGTAAAGTCTCGATATCTGGTGTTGACATATCATCTAAACGAACGTGTACTATTGTTTACCCAGTGTTATAATTTACACTACGGTAACGGAATGCCCGATACACGATACGGAAATGACGACAAGAAAATACGACAAGAAAAACGTGTATTACGAAGGGTGGGAAGTCCTTAATTGTATCACGGTGTTTATTATCTGTTCGTTATATATGCATGTATTTTACCTGAAAGTACACATGTTTGTGACGTCATTGATTGTGTTGGTGTGTTGGCGTACTCGTTTTGTGAGTTGAATGTCTGTACTTACTCGATTGGTCAGAGTTACGATTTAGTTAACTGACCAATCGCAGCACTTGCTTGACCATTTAACTTATATTTTATATCAACTGTTGTTGGACACACAACTCTAAGGAGTAAGACATACATGACACTGCATACTTCCGACTTACACTGGTCCTCTGTTCACAGCATCCTAGTAAGTGCGTCGCGTAAGTTTTTTATTCTAAGTCAATTAATTTATAATTTCATTACGCGGCGCGATGAATAAAATTAACTTTATTATCGGTAAAAGGTATGTGTGATGGTATGAAAGATATATTTGGGTTTTTTTATGTGGAGAGTTATATATGTATATTGATTATCTATAGGTTCTTTCGAACCAAGAAATAAATCAATTGTGAAACCAATCAATTACGAGATAAGAGTGTTTTGTGAAATAAGGATTGACCTTCCTTTTGACGGCGTATACGGTAGTATGAAAGCATTTGGCAAACATCCTTATATGCACATCCAAAAAATGTTTATTTGCTTCAATACGCAGGAAAAAAGCAGTCGGAAACTACGGTAGTCGGGTTTGCTAGGATACTATAGTTCAAGTGAATCTACATCGATATATGGGGTTTTAGAAAATCCACAGTGGACAATTATATATTTTTCTTCCTTGCATAGCTTTTACATTTTAAATTTAGTAATGTGAGAGGTCCTTCGAGTCATCGGACTGTTGCTGAAGCGTGAATGGCGCCATATTTGAAACAAATATAAATCCGCCGACCTTTTATCACTGCGTATCCACTAATTTATACGCAGTCAGTCTGAAAAAGGGAGGCATGGAAATATTTGTTTTTAACTCAGCATTTTTGTCTGTCTTTTCTCGACTGTCAACAGTTTATTGAAACACACAAATCAAGCTATACGAAACCATCTACCTTTTCATTACATGTGCCTCCATTTAGACAGGTGCTCGGAAGACAGGTACACATGCCCGTAGTGGTGAAGCACGTGAGAGAACAGGCTAGAGGACACTTGTTGGAACAATCACTACCCCATACTCCAGGTGTACATGCTGTGTGTAAACAACGGTAGACATGTATTAGGTCTTTCATGAGTTAATATTCATAACAAAACCCCAACTATTTTCACAAATTGGGTGTTAATTGAAGCCAGAGAGGAAGTAAATGGTCATGAGTAGGTATAAGACTGTGCGTTTTTACGACTTTTTATGTGAAATGCATACAGGTCTGTCCATTTGTATTCATCAGGTCATGTAAAACAGGCAACTATTTCAGAAATCTTTCCCCGAGATTCGATTGGATGAAAGGATAACAGAACTTATATAACATACCCAAATACACATTAATAAAGTTGCTGAGATGCTGAAGGGTTCCAGCTTGACACTTACTCTCATTACACAGTGGGCCCATAAATCCGGCTGCGCAAGTGCACCGACCAGTGACACTGTCACATGACCCGTCGTTCTGGCATGGCGGGCACGACTGGGCACAGTCGACACCAAACTGACCTTCCGGACATTCTACAAGAAACCAGAACAAAGTATGCAGTATGCTTCATTAAACACACGAAGGAAATACCAAGGAAGTGGAGTTCATACTATTCATTCACTTATCATTGTAATAGAGAACATCATTTGTTTTTTTCCCCAAGAAACATTCAAACTAAGGTAACACAAAGTGCAAAATCTATTTGATAGATTTAAGAGTTTCCTGCAAAAGACATTAGCAACAAAAACATATTATGAACTTGTCATGTGTACACCTGAATGACAAGTTTAGACCAAATGATCCTATTTGAATTCGTTTCCGAAGGACGGAACTAATCTATCGGCCTTTGTATTTGTTCGTACAAAAATGTCATAGTATAGAAGAAATAAAGTAGAGTTTCAAGACTTACACGACAGAAAAACTAATGGAACGGGATACCTACTAAATAAACTACTATGCTTAAAGGTATTATACAGCCAGACGAATATAACAGGTAAACAACATCAAAAGTGACAGTGCCGACAAATTACTATACTGTCAGACTTGAATAATTGAAAACTACTGTGCAGACTAGCAAAATAGGCGACTGCAAATATCCTGTAATAATGTTAATCAGGTGATTGTTCTTGTCAACACAAACAAGTGCATTTCATAGAGGTCTTTGTGAATAATCTTTACACATTGTCTACTATCATGAATGAAAAAGATGCAGCATGTTTTTCGTATCGGCACAGAAAGCCTTCCGCGCCCTATCATATGCATTATCCCTAGGATAAAAAGGACATTGCCACAAATGGAATTGTTAGCCAATTACGGAGTCATGTCACCTATCATGGCCATCATTAGAAGACAAAATAAACATCTGCCACGGAAATATATTTTTCACTGGGCATTCCACAATGGAATGTGTCTTGTAATTCTTATAGTATTAACATGTTTATTTTGGAATTTTTTACACATTCTATGCAACATACAGACATATAATTATAGGTGCAAACAGAACACTTCCGTTCTTGGTAACTGATGAGAATTGCATGCGTTATGCCCGTCGCATTCATAGATATGACCCAAAAATGCCACCAATATTGTGCGAAACGAGTGACAGTTGGAAGCACCCTCCTGCAAGTGCATTTTGCCCCAGGAAAAATATGCAGATAGTTCCATATGTATGTGGTATGTCCAGCCACCCCTTTGTTATAAGGCCAGAAAGTTATATGAAAGATGACTAGGCGGTGGAAAGCTTGAGAATGAAACTGTTTCATTGTAGAAAGTTAGTTTGACCCGAGATAAGCTGAACGGTCTGCTGCCACAGACAGTCGGCTTGCCTTGCGTGATGATAAAACCAAGATTGACAGCAGTCTAAATTCTAAAATAAAGTGTTCCCTAGTTGATGGTCACATCGAATCCCCGCCCCAACTACTACATAAGCCCTACATAAACATGAGCACGAACATTATTTATTTTACAACAATTAAGAAACAAGTTTTCTAACTTATATTAATCATTCTTGCTGGCCTGGATGGAAGAGCGCAGAGTGTCTTAATGTGGAAGGAAACCGGAGTACCCGGAGAAAACTCAAGTGATCGGGAAGGTGACCAATACACTTTCACGTCCGATCGGGGAATAGAGCTGGGGATGAACAGCTTGATAGTCAACATATCCTTGTGCTCTCTCCGTGCTGCAGTTGTGGCAATTAGAATGACATTTTTACAACAATCTAATTAAAATTGTATATATGCGAAAATATCATTTTGATTAGATTGTATTTACAATATATGGACGGGGACTTACCTTGGTCGCACCGCACCCCTGACCAGCCTGGTTGGCAATGGCAGTCCCCATTGACAGGGTTACACACACCTTCATTGTGGCAAATGCAGGGCTGGGCACAGTCAAAACCAAAGTGGGTAGACTCACAAACTGAAAGTCAACATCAGGATTAAAACGACAAAAGGTGGATAGAGAGAGTTAAAGTGTTTCCTACTGACATTAATCATCAGAATAAAAGCTAGACATGTTAGCTAAATTTAGTGACAGTAACAATTCTTACTCATCTGACAATGATGAACATAGTGGGACTACAAATGCTTACGATAATGACCAGAGTGACAGTAAGTATTAGTACCTAACTTACAATGATGACCACAGTGATAGTAAGTATTAAAACCTAAATTACGATAATGACCAGAGTGACAGTAAGTATTAGTACCTAACTTAAAATGATGACCAGAGTGACAGTAAGTACTAGTACCTAACTTACAATGATGACCGGAGTGACAGTAAGTATTAGTACCTAACTTACATTGATGACCAGAGTGACAGTAAGTACTAGTACCTAACTTACTATGATGACCAGAGTGACAGTAAGTACTAGTACCTAACTTACATTGATGACCAGAGTGACAGTAAGTACTAGTACCTAACTTACAATGATGACCACAGTGACAGTAAGTATTAGTAACTAACTTACAATGATGACCAGAGTGACAGTAAGTATTAGTACCTAACTTACAATGATGACCAGAGTGACAGTAAGTAGTAGTACCTAACTTACAATGATGACCAGAGTGACAGTAAGTATAAGCACCTAACTTACAATGATGTCCAGAGTGACAGTAAATATTAGTACCTAACTAATAATGATGACCAGAGTGGAAGTAAGTATTAGTACAGTGACAGTAAGTACTAGCACCTAACTTACAATGATGCCGAGAGTGACAGAAAGTATTAGTACCTAATTTACAATGATGACCATAGTGACAGTAAGTACTATTACCTTACTTACAATGATGACGAGAGTGACAGTAAGTAGTAGTACCTAACTTACGATGATGACCAGAGTGACAGTAAGTATTAGTACCTAACTTACAATGATGACCAGAGTGAAAGTAAGTATTAGTACCTAACTAACAATGATGACCAGAGTGACAGTAAGTATTAGAACCTAACTTACAATGATGACCAGAGTGACAGTAAGTACTAGTACCTTACTTACAATGATGACCAGAGTGACAGTAAGTATCTTAACCTAACTTACAATGATGACAAGAGTGACAGTAAGTATTAGTACCTAACTTACACTGATGACCAGAGTGACAGTAAGTATTAGTACCTCACTCACAATGATGACCAGAGTGACAGTAAGTATTAGTACCTAACTTACAATGATGACCTGAGTGACAGTAAGTATTAGTACCTAACTTACAATGATGACAAGAGTGATAGTAAGTAGCAGTACTTAACTTACCATGATGACCAGAGTGACAGTAAGTATTAGTACCTCACTTACAATGATGACCAGAGTGACAGTAAGTATTAGTACCTAACTTACAATGATGACCAGAGTGACAGTAAGTATTAGTACCGAACTTACAATGATGGCATGAGTGACAGTAAGTATTAGCACCTAACTTACAATGATGACCAGAGTGACAGTAAGTACTAGTACCTAACTTACAATGATGACCAGAGTGACAGTAAGTATTAGTACCTAACTTACAATGATGATCAGAGTGACAGT